CGGGTCTGCCGGGCGGGAGCTGGGTGCGTGCTGCTTGTTGTTCTCCCGCCCAGTGGAATTAAATCCTGAGGGGGAGCAGAGACCGTGGCAGTTGGTGAGGCCCCCGGGGAAATGCCCCCCTGTCCCGGGCAGTCTTCAGCGGGCCGCCCCGCCTCTGCCGCATCTTGCCAAAGCGAGAGGGTCTTTTTGCGGGTTGTGATGTGCCTGAAATGACACACGGGCATCCCTTTGCCTATGTTTTTGTGCTCTTTTGTTGGCTTATCTTGTGTACAGATACAGCTGAACGACTTTTCTGCTTTTGCAATATGTTGCAATTTGCCAGTTGGCTGAATGTGTCACATTACCTGAGGCCTTCTTGCTTTTAAGGTTGTTTCTGGGTATATCAAAGGAAGACGAGCTCCTAACATGGAGAGAAACAATATAATTACGTTTAGGCTAAGGCAGGGATTAGTACATTAAAAAGATAGTTGTATCTAAGTATGGATCTAATAATTTCTTTTATATTCATGCCACCTCCACATCACTTGGCTTCCTGAGCACTGTGCCCTGGATTCGATAGTCATTGCCATTTTCTTGAAAATAGAGGATGCGTGGTGTTTTTGTTTTCGTTTGACTTGTGCTCACAGTTGCAGTAGATGCTTTTTGGGTAGTCTGACCCCAGGTAGTTATGACATAATTATTTCCGTGACAAGAAAAGTAAACCAGACATGGAAGTATGAATTACAGTATCTGGCAGAAGATGTTATAATAGGAGTGAGAGGTCTCCTTTACAAACAACAGTTTTCCAGTGAACTTTTTAAACCATTTTTCCACTTAACTTTAGTGAAAATACCTTCATAAAGTTAATTTTGGGATGAAATTACCGTTTCCCAGAACATATGTATTGGGATGTGTTCCCAGAAGATACGTACAGTGGGATCAGAAAGTTCCTTCTGTGTTCTGGTCTTGTTCAGAAGACAGCTGGGACTTCTCTCATACCTCAGCTAACAGAAGAATGCCATGGGGCACCTGCACGATGCGGTGCGTTCACCTCGTTCTTCATCTGAAGGGAATTGCTGCTACAGGGAGAAAGAAAGGGGAGCAGGATTTCCCTGTGTCCTACTTGAAAGCAAGATATCCCTGGGGAGCTCCTCTTAAATGTCCCATGGATCTGCTTGTCAGAGTAATGGTTTTGGATTGTGTATTCATATTGATACCATAAAGCAGTTCAAAATTCTACCCAGCTGAGAGTATACCCTGTTTGCTATAATGCTTGCTTTTGAAATTTTACAAAGCATTTCTACTAAATTCACTTTAGTTTTCTCCCTGTCTTAATTAAATGATGTAATACTGGTATTGACTTCTATTGAGAACTCAGAAAGAAGGAATCTGCAATTTGCTTAGTGGGTTAATTTGCAGAACGGAAGCAACCCAGGGGGAAGGCAACATTTCTAATGCTCTTGGCATGTTAAGACTATATTGTATATTGTTTGTTAGATTGTTTAATTGCACATAAATTATAATTAGTAGCTCTCTTAACTTAGAAGTACTAAAAACTACCTAAAGTTAGTAACAGCGCTTATTAATCTAACTTTTACTTTTTTATTTTTAGAGATGCATGCATGCATGTATATGTACTCATATCTGTGTTTCAGTTTTGGTTCTAATGTTGTAGCAAATCATGGGAAAAAAAGATGTTATTAGATTTTATTTCTTATTTCTCTTGATGTATGAAATACTATTTCCAGTGAGAAGTAACTTTCAGATTTTAGTTTTGGTGTCAGCAAAGCTTGACTTGGGAGTCTGAAATCAATTTTGTGTTACAAACTGTTGTGACTCAGTCTGTGTGCCAACTGTATGGATGTATTCTTGACAACTTTTCTAAAGTAGTGGTTTTCAACATATTTATTTCAGTAGTGGCAGTGCTGGATCGTGGTAAAGCAGACTTTAAGGATACTGG